CCTACCCCACTCCCCCACCTCCTTCCCGCCCTCCAGCTCCTCGCGAGTTCACGGCGGGAGGGGGTGCCTGCTGCCACCCTGACACTAGTAGGTTCCTGGCTTAGTTCCCATCCCTTTTTTCTCGCCCATTTTCTCTCTTCCCAACAGCCTCGTTCCTTCCTCCATCTTCTCCTCCCATTGCTCCCACACGCCAGCTCTTCTCCAGTCCCCTCTCCAGCTGGCCTTCCTCTCCTTCCCGCCTCCCCTCCTGACCCGACCTCCCCCCACCTCTGCTCCTGTCTCCCTCCCACCTCCACCTCCTGCCCTTCTCCATCTTCCTCCTGCCACAGCCTGTACCGAGGCCCGAGGTCCACCCAACGACCACAAGGTCTCCGAACGACTCCCTGGGTGCCCCAGCTTCCCTACCTGAGAGTCTCCCCCTCCCCAACACCTGGGCTTCTCTCTCTGACCCGCCCCCTTCCTCCCCAGTCATCTACATCTGCAGCTCCCCGGATACCTTCAGAGCCCTGATGCTTCTGGCCCTGGAAGCTGGTCTCAGCGGGGAGGACTATGCTTTCTTCCACCTGGATCTCTTCGGGCAAAGCCTGCAAGGTGCACAGGGCCTTGGCTCCCGCAGGCCCTGGGAGCGGGGGGATGGGCAGGATGTCAGTGCCCACCGGGCCTTTCAGGTGAGTGCCAGGGGGTGCGACTCTCAACTGGTGACACGTAGTTTCTGGGCACTGGGTCCTGCATTATCTGAAATGATTCTAGAAAAGAAGTTCTTTCTAAAATATATTTCAGAGAGGAAGGGGGAGAGAGATAGAAACATCAATGATGAGAGAGAATCATTGACCAGCTGCCTCCTGCACGCCCCCTACTGGGGATTGAGCCCACAACCTGAGCATGTGCCCTTGACCGGAATCAAACCTGGGAGACTTCAGTGGGCAGGCCCACGCTCTATCCCAGCGGTTCTCAACCTGTGGGTCGAGACCCCTTTGGCGGTCGAACGACCCTTTCACAGGGGTCGCCTAAGACCATCCTGCATATCAGATATTTACATTACGATTTATAACAGCAGCAACATTACAGTTATGAAGTAGCAACGAAAATAATTTTATGGTTGGGTCACAACATGAGGAACTGTATTTAAAGGGCCAGAAGGTTGAGAACCACTGCTCTATCCACTGAGCCAAACCAGCCAGGGCAGAAAAGAAATTCTTGATGCTCACAGGGAGTTAGGTGACGAAGGGCAGGGGCCTGGGCCCAGAGGTGTGTGGAGGGCCAGGGACAGGGGGCTCAGAGCCAGGAGGGTAAGAGGACGTGCGCATAGGCTTGAGGTGGAAGGATGTTCAAGTCCTGCAGACTCACTGGACTGGGAGACGCCATCCCTTTGGCTCCCCTGCTTTGGAGCAGTCAGCACCGCACCCAGGATATGGGGTCCAGTTTGACGTTAAGCTGAGCAGAGATGCAGCTCTGGGAGGTGGGCCCCAGGCTACTGGGAAGGTGGGTCAGCGCCCAGCTCACCCCTCTCCACTGACCCCTTCCTCAGGCTGCCAAGATCATTACATACAAAGAGCCAGATAACCCTGAGTACGTGGAATTCCTGCAGCAGCTGAAGCACTTGGCTCATGAGCAGTTCAACTTCACCCTGGAGGACGGCCTGGTAGGACGGGGCCCTGGGGCCCTCCACTGTGGACCTCCAGCCCCCCCTCCATGGCCCTCTGCCAGTCTCCACCCTGTCCACTCAGCCATCCCCGGATCCCCAGGCCTCCCCTTCTTTCCCTGCCCCTTGTTTCTGTATCTCTGGGGGTTGGGAGGTGGCGCTGACCAGTTCAACCTCCGAATCTCAGGTCCTCACAGTCAAAGGGAAGTGATCTGTCCCGCCCCGCCTGCCCAGCGGGGTGCGAAGCGGTGGTCTATGCAGAGGCATCTTATCGATAGCAAAACCTTGCTGTCCTGTGGGGACGTTTTCTCCCATCCCCTTCCCAGCTCCCAGCACCTCCCAGTGCCTCCCCCCAGCACCCCACTGTGTGCCCTCCACATGTCCCACCCCAGTGAGGCTCTGCTGTCCCCGCAGGTGAACACCATCCCAGCGTCCTTCCACGACGGGCTCCTGCTCTTCGTCCAGGCGGTGACAGAGACCCTGGCCCACGGGGGAGCCGTCACCGACGGGGAGGGCATCACCCAGCGGATGTGGAACCGGAGCTTCCAAGGTCAGGGCCTGGAGGTGGCGAGAACGGCCTGCCTGGGACGGCACCGGGCGGGAGGCCGTGGGGAGCCTCTAGTCCAGCGCACGGGCAGTCCCTCGCCCCCGCCAGTCTCCCGCAGCTTCCTGTGGGCCCTCCTGCCCTCTCTCCCGAGCTCCACCAAGAAATCCTTCTAAGTATCCAGCGCCAATCAGTCCTGTGGCTGAAGCGTCTGTCCCTTTTACTATCATTCCATATGTGTGTGTGTGTGTGTGTGTGTGTGTTTGGAGGGCAAGGCAGAGACAATCAAGTGTGTGTGTTTGGAGGGCAAGGCAGAGACAACCAAGGGATCAGATGAGGTGTGTGTGCGTGGGGGGGGGGGTCCCTGAACTTTCTTCCACTCCCTCAAAACACAGCCATCTTCCTCCACGCCCCCAGGTGTGACAGGACACCTGAAAATGGGATATGGATCCTGAGACGACTGACTTCTCCCTCTGGGATATGGATCCTGAGACTAGTGACTTTCGGGTAAGGCTGTGCCCGGAGAAGACAATGCCAACTGAGAAAGACACCTCACCCCTCTTCTCCCGGCCTCCCCCCCCCCCCCCCCCCCCCGCCCTGGGAGGGGATTTTTCTACTCTGAAATTTCCCACCATTCCTGGTCACCCAAGGAAAAGCCTGGATAAAAGGTCTTTTGGGGGGATCAACCAAAAAAATTGGGATTTACAGGGGTTAACCTTGGGGAGGCCCCTGTGTGAGGAGGGGACACTCCCCTGCCCTCAAGAAATCCTGTGTCTCCTAAAGGCACAGAAACCCTTCCGCAGAGACCGGCAACTCTGAATCTAGGTGGACACACACTGTGTTCTGTATTCTCCTCTTATGACCTGGGGGCATCGGTATGGGGTCTCTGTGTCACTTACAGTAAGGGTGTGATACAGGGGGTGACATCCCAGTTTAAAGGGCCTGGTGAACATAGATGGGGTACGTGGGAAGCATTGACTACCCGACTAGACAGGAGGTTTTGCCCGCGTCACCGAGGCTGACCCCCGCCCCCTCTCTCCATAAGATCGTCCTGATCACCACAGGACTTCCCAGGAACTCGTGGGCGTGGGCTGGC